CATTTTATCATTTTCACATTTTCATTCATGCATTTTATCATCTTCACATTTTCATTCATGCATTTTATCATTTTCACATTTTCATTCATGCATTTTATCATCTTCACATTTTCATTCATGCATTTTATCATCTTCACATTTTCCATTAGGCATTTTATCATCTTCACATTTTCATTCATGATTTATCATCTTCACATTTTCATTCCCATGCATTTTATCTTTCACATTTTCATTCTGCATTTGATGATCTTCACATTTTCATCATGCATTTATCATTCTTCACATTTTCATTCGATGCATATTTATCATCTTCACATTTCATTCATGCATTTATCATTTTCACATTTCATTTCATCATTTTATCATCTTCACAATTTCATTCATTGCATTTTATCATTCTCACATTTTCATCGATGCATTATCATCTTCACATTCATCATGATTTATCATCTTCACATTTTCATTCATGCATTTTATCATTTTCACATTTTCATTCATGCATTTTATCATCTTCACATTTTCATTCATGCATTTTATCATCTTCACATTTTCATTCATGCCCTTCTTCCGAGGTCAGCACCACCGGCGCCACCCACGGCCCCCGTCCATTAGGATCCATGAAAGTCCGTGTCCATTTCTCCTCATAGCTCAGTCCGGTTCCCTCGCGTCCTCGGTTCCTCCGCAACATACAATCACAACAATAATATGCGAAATGATGAGAACGAATCCCCTTTTTGGCCTCAACAACCGCCGCTAACAACCACAACCACACCCACTGGCAGGGCGAGAGGCGGAGGCGAAGGGAGGTGGACTCGCGGGAGGCGGGATCCTGCACGGCCGACTCGTGTCCTGCGCCGCTCTCCGACGCCTACATGACCCTCCAGCAGGTCAGTGTTGGATGGAAAGCGAGAACGGGAGAGAATCAGGGGGGGGAGGAGAGAGATATGGGCAAATGAGAGAGAGAGAGAGAGAGGAAGAGGGGAGGAGAGAAGATGATGAAAGAGAGAGAAGAGGGAGAGAAGAGAGAGAGAGAGAGAGAGAGAGTGAAAGAGAGAGAGAGAGAGAGAGAGAGAGAGAGAGAGAGAAGAGAGAGAGGAGAAGAAGAGAGTGAGAGAAGAGAGAGAAGAGAGAGAGAGAGAGAAAAGAGAGAGGAGAGAGAGAGAGAGAGCAAAATTAAATGACAGTATTGACCCTTATATTTGTCTTCATCATCAGGATAAAAATCATTTTAGTATTGTTAATAATAGTATCAGCAATAAAAGTGATGATAGTAATGCTAATGATAGTCATGGTAATTATGATAACCTTGGTAGAGAAAGATAATGATAGTCTGATGACATTGATGATTATATAGATAATAATAACGATGAATAAAATGGCGAAATTAAAAGCAAAGATAACAACAGGAGCCTTAGCAACAACACCGATAACAATAACAACAACAAATACACTAACAACAGCAGCAGCTAACAATGGAATGCAAACAACAACGGCGGCGCCATAATAACAGCAACAACAAACGAAAAAGCAACATGAAACGAGAACAACACCACCAGCTACAACACCGCCAGCCATAGCCTCGAGAGCAAACGAGAACAACACCACCAGCTACACCACCACCAGCCATAGCCTCGAGAGCAAGCGAGAACACAACATCAACTGACAACACCACCAGCCATTACCCTCGAGAGCAAACGAGAACAACCCGCCAGCCATTAGCCCGAGAGCAACGAGAACAACACACACCAGCTACACCACCGCCAGCCATAGCCTCGAGAGCAAACGAGAACAACAACACCAGCTACACCACCGCCAGCCATAGCCTCGAGAGCAGCGGATCCCAAGCCCACTCGACACCGGCCCGACGCGCGCTGGCCAAAGTGCGGTCGACGTGAGCCGCGAAAGGCAGAGCTTCAGTTCACCTCAATTCGATTACTTCCGCTCCTGTCACGGCGGATCTGTCTCTCGCGGTTCTTCTGTCTCGTCTGTCTGATTTTTCTGTTTGTCTTCTGTCTCTCTCTTGTCTGTCTGTTTTTTTTCTGTTTGTCTCTCGCCTCTCTGTCTCTGTCTGTCTGGTTTTATTTTTCTGTTTGTCTCTCGCGCTCTCTCTGTCTCTGTCTGTCTGTATGTTTTTTTCTGTTTGTCTCTCGCGCTCTCTTGTCTCTGTCTGTCACTCTCTCTGTCTCTGTCTGTCTGTTTTTTTCTGTTTGTCTCTCGCGCTCTCTCTGTCTCTGTCTGTCTGGTTTTATTTTTCTGTTTGTCTCTCGCGCTCTCTCTGTCTCTGTCTGTCTGGTTTTATTTTTCTGTTTGTCTCTCGCGCTCTCTCTGTCTCTGGTCTGTTTTTCTGTTTTTGTCTCTCGCGCTCTCTCTGTCTCTGTCTGTCTGGTTTTATTTTCTGTTTGTCTCTCGCACTCTCTCTGTCTCTGCTGTTTTCTGTTTGTCTCTCTCGCGCTCTCTCGTCTGTCTGTCTGGTTTTATTTTTCTGTTTGTCTCTCGCACTCTCTCTGTCTCTGTCTGTCTGTTTTTTCTGTTTGTCTCTCGCTCTCTCTCTGTCTCTGTCTGTCTCTGTCTCTCGCACTCTCTCTGTCTCTGTCTGTCTGTCTGTTTTTTTTCTGTTTGTCTCTCGCGCTCTCTCTGTCTCTGTCTGTCTGTCTGTTTTTTCTGTTTGTCTCTCGCACTCTCTCTGTCTTCTGTCTGTTTTTTCTGTTTGTCTCTCGCGCTCTCTCTGTCTCTGTCTGTCTGTCTGTTTTTTCTGTTTGTCTCTCGCACTCTCTCGTCTGTCTGTCTGTATTCTCTCGCTCTCTGTGTCCCCTTATCCCTTCCCTTCCTTCCATCCTTCCTTTTTATCCTCCTCTCCCCTTCTCTTCCTCTCCTCCCTCCCTTCCTTCCCTCTCACTTTCCTCCTGTCCCTTCCCCCCTCCCTCCTCCCACTTCCCCCTTCTCTCCCTTTCCACCTTCCATCCCCTCCTCCTCATTTCCCTCCCATTCCCAGCCTACCCTTCTCTTCCCTCCCTCCATCCCCTCTCTCTCCATATATATATATATATATATATATATATATATATATATATATATATATATATATATATATATATATATATATATATATATATTTCTCCTATCTTTCTTTCTCCCTCTCTGTCTATCTCTCTCTAAATCTCTTTCTCTCTTCTCTGTCTTCTCTCTCTCTCTCTCTCTCTCTCTCTCTCTCTCTCTCTCTCTCTCTCTCTCTCTCTCTCTCTCTCTCTCTCTCTCTCTCTCTCTCTCTCTCTCTCTCTCTCTCTCTCTCTCTCTCTCTCTCTCTCTCTCTCTTCCCTCCCTCCTCCCTCCCTCCCTCCCTCTCTCTCCTCTCTCTCTCTCTCTCTCATTCTCCCTGCCCCTCCCTCCCCAGATGGAGTTCTACCTGCGGGAGATCAACACCACGTACGCCCCCCGAGTGTCGGTGCAGTCGATCGGCAAGTCGGTGGAGGGTCGGGACATCTGGATGGTCCACGTGAAGTCGGGAGGCTGCGCTCAAGGCAAGTCGGTTTACCTGGAATGTGGTGAGTTAGTCTGGGAACAGTCTGTGGTGGTGAGTCTGATTGAGGAGAGTCTGTGGTGTTGATTCAGCTCGTGCAGCGGTTACAAAAGAGTGCAAGGGCGAGTGCGAGTTGGACTGCTGCAAACCCATAAGGATAGATTTTGCAGGAACACTTCCAGTGACTCCTAAGCAATATTCACGAAAGGTCATGGACTCAGAAATTTGGTTTTAGCAGAAAAAGAATGTCTTGGACCGAGATTTTGCCTTTGACTCCGCGCAAATATCCTCAACACCCGATTCTTGAGTAAGACGTTTCGCAAGGGGCAGGAGGCGTCCCGCGGCCACAGGCGCTGACCTCGACTTGTCCTCGTGAGGCGCCGACAGCACTGAGTTTACAGCTGTTGAAGATAATTCCGCACCTGTAGGGATATGGAGGAGGAACAGCGAAGGGAAGAACACGAATATGCCGAAGGCCCTTTCGCTCTTGCGACGAAGCAATAACGAAAAGGCCTTTGGCATATTCGTGTGTTTTCTTGTTCTTCCCTTCGTTGTTCATGTTGCAATTCGATCGACATGAATTCCACACGAATATGGAAGACTTCCCTTCCAGTTTTACTCGTTGCCGAACATTAATTGAGCCGCTTCCTCCATTTCCTGCAGTTTTCTCTTAGATAAATACGAATGACGCCCTTGAA